TTTTGAACAATACAATAGTAAGTACATTTCGCACTTATGATTTGATTTAACATAAAATTAAAGGTTATCACCAAATAGGTACTGAATTAAAATAAAAATACAAAAATACCGTTTCAACAATTTATTAATCGTTGTAATGATGAAATAAAAAACATATAAAAAAAACAATAGTCAGGTAATCAACAATGATTTAATAACAACAACAAATAACCATACTGTGCAACAATACTTAGAAGTAATTTGTTCTAAATCGCACCAGGTAGCTTGGTATAAAGAAGAAGAAAGAAGAATAGAAAAGAAAGAAAAGAATAAAGGAAAGGAGAAAAAGAGAAAAAAGTGCAAGAAAGAAGTGAAAATGAAAGATAGCAGAAGAAAGTGTTTATAGAAAGGATAGAAGCATAGAGTAGAAGAAAGAAAAATAGGAGAAATATGAAAGAAAATAGATAAGCATGCAATAAAGTAGGTATAGGATAGATGAAATATTAAAAAAGAGGCAAGAAAAGTAAAAGCATGTAAAGAGTAGTAATAAAAATAGGAAAAATAATAGATACAATAAGCAAGAATATAAGATAGAAAAGAGAATGAATAAGAAATAGTATAGAGCAATAAATGAAGAACAGAAAAGAGTATGAAGATTAAAGAATATAGTAAAGATAGAATAAGATAGAAAATCAAAATAATAATGAAATAATAGAGCATTAAAGATTAAAGAAAAGATAGAAGAGTAGTGTGAAACATGAGTTAATAAAGAGCAGGTGAAAAAAGTGTAGTAGAATAAAGAAGATAACAAGAGAATAGAAGTGTAAAAGTATAAAGGATAGTGAGCAAAAAGTCTGTAAAGGATTATAGAAAAGAATAGTTTCTTTGTAAATGTAAAAGTAGAAAAAAGTTTGCAAGGTATTTTAGATAGACATGTAAAGGTAGATTCGCTATCCTTATGCGTGCTCAACAGTTTAACATAACTCTCCTTTTGGCTGTTAAAAAAATGATGATGGATTGAAAATCCACCATGTCCGTATCCTCCAATACTGGATCATTTTGCCCATATCAGCGTGGGTACTTCAAAACTGCAGTACTTTTATCCCATCCAGAATATTTGTAGGAACATTCTTGCATTGACATCTGCACAGCTCGCCATACCTTGTTTGCAATGGTTCCACTAATACTTCTGTACTTCGCAGTAACTTCGATAGTTGAGCTGTCTTTCAGTATGTGCTACCATATGGTTATTAGTCTATCTTTTTCGTACTATTACACCTATCACAAGATATATTGGTTTTTTAAATCAAATCTCGTGTCTAAAATATAGTGTCTCGCTCTCTAAAAAGTCATCGGTAAAGAAGTTCGACAAGAGGAGAAGAGTGGAGATTGATGAAAGCTTTGAAGTGAATCAAAAGGAAAATACAGAATAATGATTTTAAAAAAATAGTAGTAGTAGAAACAAAAATAAATATATAAATGTTTAAATAGTTATTTTCTGTTAAAGTAAAAGTTGATCTTCGTGGTAGTAGGTGTAATGATAGGAAAAGGTAAAGAAGAAAAATAAATCTAATAATGTAGACAGACTTGAGAAGATAAAAAAATAAAAGAAAGGTGTAATGAGAAAAGAAAGGACATAAGAGAAGAATAGGAGGCGGAAAATTGGTAAAAGATTAAAAAAATGAAAGATAAAGAATATGATAAGAAGATGATAATTCTAGAAAAATAAAGAAGACTGAAAAAATTATGTAAATGAGACTGATGATATAATTTGTGACAAAACAGATAATTGATGTAATGATTATCGTAGACAGGCCAGAATCATAAAATTGTATGCAGTTTTAAAACGGAAAAAAATAATGATAAATCATGTTTATATGTAGTAGTTTTGTGAGTAAAGAAGAAGTAAGTAAGAAAAGAAAACGTAGATAGATAGATAAAAATAAGAGATAGATAAAGGTGTAGAGTAAGTGTAGATGTATAGATAACAATTGTAGGGAAGGTATAAAGGATACAAGAATTTTTTGTAAGATGAAAGTTTTACAAATATTGAAACAAGAAGAAATAAAAAAGAAATTAACTTGTATTAAAGAAATACAGGCTTAATAAGATTAGATAAAAGTCAAAGTATTTGTGAAGAAAAAGAATATAAAGTGCTATTTCCAACATAAAATGTGATAGGAAGAAATGACGATAGGGAAAATATATATGACAGTGGTAAATATGATGAATAATATGATTTCATGTGTGTAAAGATTGAAAGTGAAGAAATGTATAGAAGATAAAATAAAATGAAAGAAGAAGAAAGGAGAAGAAATGTAAAGGAAATTAGTAGAAGAGATAAAGATTTTGAATTTAAGATAGTATAGAATAAGGTTCACAATAGTTAAAAGCAAGATAATTATAATGATAATATAAGAAATAAAATATGATAGATATCATTATCATTATCAATAAGTATATACTTAAATAGATCAAAGTAATAAGAGTAATAAGATCTCATTTTATATAGAATAAGATGAAAATAAAAAATAGAATATAAAAAGATAAATGAAAGGATAAACAAGGAAGTATAACATACATAAATTTAAGACAAGACAGATAATAAGGAAGATTGGAAATAGCAAAAATGATAGAAGAAATATAATATTGAAAATACGAATCTATGGTAATTTCAATTTAAAGAAGTAGAAGTAGAGAAGAAGTAATAGAGATCGATATAGAAAGATGAAATGAAAACAAGATAAGAGAAGAAAAGACTGCGTTCATTTCATATTTAAGAAATATTTAGGATTGTAGATATATAGTCAGAATTTTAATTAGATTCCAGATTTGACAATAGCTACTGTCATTTTGTGAAATAATGATACCACATATAATAGTGTAGTGATGAGCACAAAAATCGATAAACAATCAGTGTGTGTGTTTTATAATAAATGTTACAGAAAGTGACAAGATAGCGATAGCGATGACGGCGACGATTTATAAAATAAGTTATTACCATAATACATCTATATGTTTTATTTGTCATGTTCCTTCATGATTACATTTTTTTATTTATTAACACACAATTATAAAAGAAAAGTCTCAGATCGTTAATTAATCGTCAAAACTAAATTATCGGTTCAGAAATATTTAATTTCCTGATATACTTAGTTTATGAGAGTAAAATTATAAACGACAAGAATCGATCCAGAAATATTGCATTCCCATATCGAATAATTTCGCAACATCACTATTTAGTACTTGTCATAACGTTGCAACACTGAAATTGTCAAATCTGGAATCGAATTAAAATTCCGAGTATAGGTGGGAAAACAGAAATAGATATAAAATAAAGTCAAGTAAACGATAGAATGGTAAGATACGTAGCAAAACAATATTTCTTGAAAATATCAGTGAAAAAGAATGTCTGATTTAAAATCCAATAAGAGAAGTGAAATAGGTATTGGAAGATGTCAAGAAATAGTAAATAGAAGTAAAGAAGTTCTTAAGTAATGTAGAAGTAAGAGATACAGTTATGAAGAATATAAAAGTATAAAGTATGATAATCATTACAGACATAAAATATGTATGCCGTATGCGAAACATGATGTAATTATAGAAAAAATAAGAAATGCAAATAGTTGTAAGAAATGTATTGAAAGAAAAAAAAATGTAAATAGTGTAATGGTCAAGTTTTTTAGGTCAAAAGGAAGTATTATACATCATGTACAATGTATGCGAAAGGTGATGAAGTTATTGAAGAAATATAAAATAAAAATAGTTGCAAGAGAAAAAATGTAAATAAGAATGGTCGAGATTTTAAAAGTCAAAAGGAGAAAAGAAGAATATGAAAAGGTAGCGAGCAAACAAAGAGAAGTATGGAATGGAAGATGTGATGTGTGTTCATGATTCAAGACATGATAAATGTGATGTGGAAGAAATAGCGCATTTTCAATAGATGAAGAGTAAGATAGCCGAGTTTTGATGAGAAATGAAGATCATGGTGTAATAGTAACGATGCGATGTTTTTAAAAGGTGAAATATGAAGATAAAATAGATCAAGATAGTTTTGAAGTAGTTTTGTAAGAAATGAGCGTAGATTGAGATTCAGTTTATTTCATCTTAGTCAGATGAAGCTGCTGTATGCTTGGTAAATGCATTCTAAGCCATGTTATATCTTCTACTAAGTATTTTTGGTTAAATATGTAAAGCTTTATTTTCTGTAGCATTGTATTACATATGACCATACAAATCTTACACAAGGCTGGAAACTGATTGGAGATGCATGCAGACATACAGTAGATAGGATGAATTAAATGTATGACGATGATACGAATTAGATAATAGTCGGCGCAGTGAAGATGGTACTGTGTATGAATGTAGAAGAAAATAATGAAATGTTAGCATGAAATGAAACGAAGAAGAATATAACATTTGTAACATTTATATTTGTAACAGTTTCAGAAGCGATACAGTAGTTGCATAAACAGATAGATAGAATAGAAGAAATAAAAATAAAGAATAGTAATGGTGTAAAGGTAAGTAATTAGAATGATGATAATTTGAACGTTTAAGTACAACAATTTGTGATAAAAAGCGTGATCAAGCAAGCGTAACAGTGAAGTGCAAGAAAAGAAAGAAATGAAGAAGAAAGAAATAGAAGATAAAGCAAGAACTAAGAAGAAGAACTACCTAAGCTTCGTACGTATCACAGTGTACTTTGTAAACTTAATTCTAATAAAAAGGAACTAACGTTGAAAGTGCATTAAAAACGTATCAGCGGAATGAACCGTTTGTAACAAATGTGCGGTTATTCAGCTACGAACCTAAACCTAATGATATCACTTGGAATAATACTGTCTTTGGTCTTATTTGAGTAACAAGTGCTTGGCAAGATAATTGCAACTATTAGCATCTAATTTTGGTACGAATTCTGAGCGAGACGTAGAATATTTGTTACTAAAATCCCTAATCATCAACAAACTTTAAAGTTTTTCTATGATTCTTGGATTTGTTTTGTTCGCTCATTATTTTACCTACTTCCTGTAGCTAGAATCTTGATGATTGTTCACTGGGTAATCGGCGTACCAGCCGAAGGACCCATGGTCTCCTGTATGAGCTCCGAAATCTACATACTCCCCGAAGTCAGGCGGTCTTTCTGCAAATTGAGAGGCAGCTCCGAAGGTAGTTGAACCGATGGAATCTTGTGGCTGCGGTTGCTGTTGTGGCTGTTGCTGCAGTCTGACGAGTCTAGCTGGAGCCTCATTCTCTTGAACTTGGACTTGAACTGGGACTGGAACTGGCGTCAAGCCTGCTGTAACGAGAAACACCGTATTAAGACATGCGCTCAATTAGATAGATGGATATGGTCATAAAACAGCAATGATGAATTTAAAGACATAATTCATAGGTGTGTCAATTGCGAAACAAATAAAAAATCATAAACTTGATCAAAAGAAGTTGGTAATAATAAAAAATGCCGAGTAGTTTTTCAACTTGATCTAGATTTGCAAGTTAATGAGCAAAATCTCACGGCCAGCGCTAATGTGAACATTTCAAAACTCGAACTGGAGGAAATGTGCACTCGCATGCATAATACAGTTTACGAAATAGATGGTAATAGTTTTTTTAGTATGCACAAACCGGCGCAATCATCGGATTAAGCGTGCGTGACCGAACTTAATTTGAGCAACGCCGCGCGCCGGCTTTGGCGCACCGAAGCACGGATAGCTCGGAATGGCTACAAGAATTGCAACATTTCTGATGTACCGAGATACTTAAGTATTCAAATGATTTATAAAAAACCTACGCTTCGAGAAAACGATCACATCATCACTATGGAAAGTAGAAAAATTACAAGATAATCAAAAAATCATTTTGGAACACGAAATAATCTTTTAGAGAGATTGAGTCGCAAGCCATTTCAACAAGATCCTAATACTAAATGTACCGTTTGCTTCTAATTCACAAGTGGTTGGTCTCGCGCAGTGAATGGATGCGATCCCATTGAATGTAAAACAAGTAACTTAAGTACCTAGTTGCATAGAAAGCAGTTTATCCTTTGTTCTCAAGTGAAAGTGATGGCTGCTTAAGCTTGATTGACGGGCGTATGAATCGGCATTACAGATCCATTTTATTACAGACAATGATTCGTCAAATACGTTCGTTCGTAATTCGTCAAACAGTGATAATATTTTTGATAATTGTACAAGAAGATCGATCGAATGAAGTTTTGTGAAGTTGATTATGATAGCATAGAATGGAATGCGCAAATTCGAAGCCTATGGTTACATCATTGGTGATTGCAAAATTGAGGGACGAAATACCAAACAATTATAATCAGACATCAATTCTTAAAACCAATTAGGCTTGCCTCTAATGGCTATCTCACGCCTCCAACAAGAAGTTTCTTTTATAATAACTACACAAAATAAGCGATAAAAGTCAACCGTGGATAATATACGTTTCCTTCCGGTGCGCAAAGGCTGTGATTTCCTCTCGACCAGTGAAACTTTACCTGATCCAATTACTGCAGATATAAAATTTGCTCATAGTGAAGATAAGATCGGTGTTGTTGCAAGACTTATGATTGCAAGTGATAATGATCAAGCTACGAGTGCTATCCCTTTGTTCGAACATGTTATGTAAGTAGGAGGGCTCGAGAAAGAGTAAATACTGCTGTGTGGGTTTAAGTCAGTGAGAATCTATTATAGGGCCATATACCTATATAAACAACTGGAGGAGGCCTTCACCCGAGGAGGGACCCACACCCAAGTGTAATACTTATTTGTAAAAAAAAAAAAAAAAAAAGTTATGTAATTATTTATGGTACTGGGAAATAAAGGCTTTTTTATTTTTATTTATTATTTATACCTATATAAGAATTGGGGTGAACATTTGCACGAACCACAAATTGAACTAAGTACTCTCCTAAGGTGATAATAAGATTCCGTTTAAGAAAAAAATAATTATTGAAATTATTTCGTTTGAAGAAGATTTCTGTGTTAACATAGCCGGCTGATACTATCAAACGCTAATCTCTAATTCAATTGGAATAGCCAACAGAACGCCAAATTGTAGTAATGTGAGAATCCAAGTGTTCACTTACGCTGCTGCTGATACTGCTGCAGAGTTGTAGGGTACTCCTGTTCATAGAACGCCTGTGGGAGCTGTGGTAATGGTATTTGAGGTGGTGGAGGTGGCGGTGACAGGGTCTGTCTTGGCACGCGACGCACACGCAACGCCGTCAGATCCACAAACGCGATCTGATCTGCAGGTACCGCGATGTAGGATGGCATCGCCGTCGTTACGGCAGCCAAAGCAGCCAGGATTAGTGTGTGCTGTAAAGAAAAATAACGTTAGAATTCGAATTTTAAATCCTAGCTAGCTTAGCTTTTTTTCAGTATTTTTAGTACCTACTAGAGTTCTAAATGTTATTATTAATTGAATAATATTGATGCAAGTAGGTAATTTTCTATTAGTAGATATTGAAGTGGGTAAACGTATCAATTTATTAGACCGAGCTATAAGTAGCTGCTTAGATGCAAATGACTCAATAATTCAGGTTCAGAGAATTCCTCCTAATGTTGTAACTGATATAGTTACCGGTGAAAAGTTTATTTTTAAACTCCAAAGTGGCCGACGTGGCAGTTGATGAAAGCCCGTAGATCTTAACGATTTAGTTCAGAAGTTGTTTATTTTCTTTTAAAAATGCTAATAGGTATGTTTCTGGGTTGGTTTGTCAGTGTCTTTCGACGTAAATATATATTTAGACCGGTTCCTTGTAAATGATTTACGAAACTGCTTCGAATGTTACGTTGTGAAACCGAGATATCTTAATTTACTTCAGCCTGCAGGTAATCGTTTATGAAGTGTACAATAAAAGGACCAGATTATTTACAAACGTGGTCCTTCGAGCCGATAAAGTTTAATACTTCAATCATATAATAACTACTTCTATCATGTAATAACTACTTAATTATTAAATTAATTTTATTGCTATCATGTCCGAATTACATTAGTATTAAAACGGATGTTCATTTTTAATCTAAGATTTAATTACTGACTAATTACGAATAAAAACTAAGTTTCATTTTTGCAATTAATAAAGATATACGAAATTGGTACTAGATACGAACACAATTAGGTACTAAATTAGTTTCTATCTAAGGTTAACTAGTGCATTCATTGGGCTCGCTGCCATTGCAGCGGTAAGTCCCCTCTTTGAGGAGTGGCTTGAGAGACGCTACGGCGTCCTCACCTACCGCCTGACGCAGGTCCTCACCGGACATGGAAGTTTCGGGAGGTACCTGTGTCTGATGGGGCGGGAGGAAACGCCCGGGTGTCATCACTGCGAGGACCACCCTGAGGACACGGTGGAACACACTGTTGCGGAATGCCCTGCGTGGGCTGAGCACCGCCGTGCCCTCAGGGAAGTGATCGGCGATGGAGACCTCTCGCGTCCGGGCCTAGTGCAGGCCATGATGCGGAGCGAGGGGGACTGGGATGCCGTCTCCTCCTTTTGCGAAGCAGTCATGCTGGCTAAGGAGGAGGCGGGACGCGTGAGGCAGCGAAGCGCTGCCCCCAGCCATCGCGAAGGACACACCGGGCGTCGGGGATCGCGGGACGATCTCCGGCCACCGTAAGCGCGGGCCTGCGGACGGCGAGCATGGGTGGCTCCCCGTCCGACCAGAAACAGACCCGAGCGTACGGCGCGTCGCGTTCCGCGCGCGCCTCAAAGAGCCATCAGACCACCACAGATGGGGCCCAATAGGGCCGATGCCGATTCGGAGTCGCGGAGAACCTAACGGGTAACCGGGGCTCCGGCTCGACGTGCAGGAGAAGGAACGGGGTGGTTTTTAGTCAGTAAGAGTCTGACACTCCCTTCCGCCTCACCCAGGCGGGAGCAGTCATTCGATGATTTTCCCCCCTTAAAAAAAAAAAAAAAAAAAAAAACTAGTGCATTCATAATTTGATTACCTACACTTCAAGCTATAAAGTTGCCTAACAATATTGTACCACAGCTTGAAGCCTAAAGATAGATCTAAATGTCTTTCTCTTGAAGCGTATTTGATATTTCATACAAAATTATGCACAGATTAAACCGCTATATTGTAAGCAAAAGAGATTATAATGTAGTTAGCAACACTACGTAATAAAACCACTATGTCGTCAAAGTTAGGTAATGTTTGTCACTGTAAATTATGCATTAAGAGCCACTGTGTTCCCTAAGCGAAGTAGTGTATTTGACTTTCTCTTTGCGGTTATCTATGAAAGTCAATGACAGTTGCGATGTGTACATAGACGTCTGTTGAACGGAATTCGAATAAATGTTGAGGAAAAATAGTAGTGCGCCCGTAGACCTGTCTGTTTTGTGGTCTGAATATTAGTCTAAATTGTTATCTTATAATTTAACGTCAGTATCTTGTAATAAATTCACGCTGCCAGGTTTTCACCCGATAATATCATAAACTGTGTTTAGGTAAGTGGAATTCCAACTCCTTATTTGGTATCATCATTCAATTCGTTACCATAAAAGGTTTACAAACCATCTAAAGATATCCGCCGCGATCACGATATGTTACAAATATGTTACTTTACCTACATTGCCTCACAGTGACACGGCATGCAATAAGGGAATTGCCAGTAAGTTAACGTTTAGCGGCGCTTACGCAACGGTAGTAATTGGAGCCCGCCCGAGTTGCGCAACGAGAGACATGCGCGCTGGACCGCAGAGTTCATTGTTTTACACGAAAGCTTTCAGTGTCGAAACGTCAAACAATTAATGAGAAAAAGATTATATCGAAAGGTTTTTGCTAGTTTTATAATTGTCTGCTTGGAGCTGGGAAATCGTTGGCGAAATCGGAGAAAAATCTAACTAAAATTTAAGATGGATGATGCCCTTTTCGGAGTGTTTGTAAATCTCTCTAGAATTATCGTTTTCTTAAGTCCCGGACTTATGTAATCTTCTAATGTCGACATGACATACGGGAAGTTATCAAGAGCTCAAGTAAAACAATATCAAACAAATATTGACACACAAAGACACCTTTATCAAATTACCAAGATTGCAGCAAACGCTGGCCCATTGGCCCAATGACTCTACGAGATACATTCTTACCTACCAAGCATGCAAAATCGATGATTGCTATTGGAAAACAAATGACTACTTTGCATTGACAAACCGTAGCACGTAGGATTATCGTTAACCTAGTTTGGGGATGCTACAGGTCCATTAGTCACAGTGTAAGCCATTCTGTTAAGGTGTCATAACGATACTTGACGTTCACTTATACAAAACATTGTTTAGTACAAAATCTGAGCAAGTTATCCATCATCTAAGAACTCGTGAATGAGTCACAGTTCGCAAATCCCATTCGAATCACCCACAAACAGTCATTTATAGATTTATCTACCTCTACTTTGAATTATGGTAATTTCGTAATATCTATTCCGCTCTGTGTAGGCCGTTAGTGGGTGTAAGTTGTCAATTAAATTAAATAGTAGTTACCACAGCAAGTGGAAATATAAGCCCACTCAGACTTTCCATTTGGACCTTGAAATTGCCTTATATAGATCTGACCTTACCGACTCGCGACAAAATGTTTTCAATGGCCAGTTTAAGTCAATTGAAATGTCACCACGCCAGTCGTATGTAAATCCAGTACTTTATCACCTTTATAAACCATTTCAGCAGTTTGTTTTCGCTTATGGCAAGGAATTTAATCAACGGTGAAAGTCCTTCCGCAATTATCCTGAGAGCTGCGCTTATGCATATGATTAACTACCTCAATAACAAAGATTAATGTAAGTTTTAGTTAGAAATTGGCATTATAACTTACTTGAAGTATCGAGGAAATAATTAATGTTATGCCTTTTATTTATCAAAAGGTACGCAACATGCATATACATGAGAAATGTTTTAGATGACAGGCGGGAATGATGAAGCAAAGACGAAAACATCGTCTGTAAATATCTGGACTAAGATAATTCAACAATATGCTATGATTTTCACAGATCTCAAGGTAATTAAGTAGTTTATAATGACACGGGGCGCCATTTTGACACCTAAGCGATAAACAATGCATCATTTACTGCACGCCTGAGAATCTTCACATGTTTTGTTGTTAAAAAATTTCACACATTGTACTAAGTCGTAACAATGCTTGGCTGAATTCGTGAATGCGCAATAATCTGTAGGACAAGGCTGAACGTTGTTTTACTTAATGTTCTAGTATATAATTCCTTTATTTTTTTGGTTTCACTTTTTGCTCTACGTGATGCTTCGTCATACAATATTGTACGTACATAGATGTAATCTATTTGGTACTATAATTTATTATTTCAGAATGCCACAATTAGGACCACATTTTGGTCAAAGGACCAAAATGTTCTTTACTATAAATTGGTCCTTCCTGCTAAAGTTATCATTAATTTGTCTGAATGCCTACAAAACAGCAAGGCAACTAACTCAACTTATCTACCATTCATAATACATTATAAAATAATGCTGCTTTATTATCATTATAAATTTATTGCCCAGTCGCTGTCTGCCCTGTTTAACATAACTTATCATTGAGTTCATCTGAAGTTCTCGACAATGATATTTCAAAACAATGATGTTATCAGCCCAAGAATAAATTCTTTTCACTTTCATCTGTCCGTATGTCCGTAAAGAAACGTCAAATATTTGGATTGTGTGACACTTTATTTGTTCCTACTTGTTAGGAAATTACGTTAGTGTATGTTTGACAATGGCTTTTCCAAGAAACGGTTAAACAAATAATGCGATTCGAATCATACGGATATGGATTACGCATTTAAGAGACCAAGGAATGTTTCACGTGGTGTTTACTGACTGATACAGTACATATGCAGCTGTTTTAAACTTGTTTTACAGCATCGCGATTTCTATAAAGTTATTACTCATGTATTTAATTCTTGCAGGAAGTTTCCGTTGTTTCTTATTAACACGTCTCGTGGTACTCACGATTTACTTTCAAATTACTTAGTGCGACGGACAGCGAAATTTTGTTACGTAATAACCAAACATTTTCATGCTTCATTCGCTGTCAAAATACCGTGAAGTTTTTGTGAATTTTGTTTGAATTTTAATTACTTTTAAAAACTTCTTACGTAAGTTTTAAACTCAGTGTGTTTCTGTTTTATGAAGTAACCAGTTAATGGAGTTGTAGGCTGGTAGGTCAGTTCAGAAACGAAGTAGGACAAAGTAGGTTTATTTGGTATAGATAGCTTTAGGCTCTTGGAATAGAGACGGTACTTTTTGACCATTCCGTGATGCTGCAGGATATAAACAAATTCTAGAATATTCTTCTAATTCACAAATGAATTACAGTGATTTAACTCTTTTCTTCAAAATATTATTATATCTGTAAGTAATTCAGCTGTAATTACATTTATATCCGATTAACTTGTAATCAAACAGTTTTTTTCAAATCGTACTCATTTCAAAGGCAAGCTAATGAGCCTAATAACAGCTGTTGCGTCCGAATTACAATTAGAAAGTAGAGTAAATACGATTTCATGGCTTTATGAACCAGCCAGTATCAATTACACAACCGTTTTACACCGATACGATTGCAATCGATTAAAAGAAAATCGACTTTTTACTTTCTTTCGGACTCGATGGGTAATCGATTTTTTCGTTTTATTTGCAACCTCTATTATTGTTGAATTTAACGGTTTGTAGGTACAATAATCATATTTATTTTTGACGGAAATTATTGTGCAGCTTATGTTTTTATAGCGTGGGAAAGTAGTTTTGGAAAGTGACAATATTGCACTCTGAATGAATAGTGTTCCCCAGCCACGATTTTTATACAATGAGTAGTTAAATGACCTAATGATCAATTTGGTCCTTTGGTTCATACGATAATTTTTCACAATTTATTTTCCAACCACATGATTTATGGTCGGTAATAACCGTCAAGGCTAGAATAACCAGCAATAAACAATACACGATATTGCCATGTTTACATAAAAAACCTTGCCTAAGTACCTAGGTAACTATTACATATATAACAATAATAAAGTAAGATTTTAGTCATGTTCCGCCTGACTAGTTGCCCCACCCTGATTGCCTTCGATATTTCCGCGGGTGAAAGGTTTCTCAATGTCAGTTCATGTACTTTTTGCTTTGTATTTCAAGTTACAGATTATGACCGTTTCCACTGTCAGCATAACAAGTTTGTCGTATCAAGGTTGTGTAAGAAAAAGTTGATTGAAATGAGTTGCAACTTTTTTTTTCGAGCGCATTGGTGTATTTCCTTGGTGGAGTTTTGTGGACTTTTTCTTTCGATTCTATATAAATACTAGCTGGATCCGGCAAACTTCTTTATATTTTTTCCCCTTTTAAACCTTCCCTTGACTTACACGAATACTTCAAGACCAAAATTAGCCAAATCGGTTCAATCGTTCACGAGTTTTAGCGAGACTAACGAACGGAAATTAATTTATATTTATATAGATAAGTTGAAGTCCGTGTTCAATTGGTTCATTTGGTAACTTATGAAAGTATTGTCTGAAAAGTTTCAAAGGTCTTACAACATTTGAAATCTACTTATGTGTTAAATTACAAAGCTATAAAGTTGTTTTGCAAGGGTACAATTCAAACACGCGATCTTTCAATTTTACTATTTCATTGTGTTACTAAACCGAATTTATTTTTACGAGACTAACTAACTAGGTAATTGGTATTTTATGAGTGTTTAAGAACAAATGTTAAGTATGAAAGTTATACATGGGTAAGTAGGTCTTATTTAGACATCTACTTTTTGATAAGCCAATAAAGATGATGACGGGGTGTAAAAATTAAAAATCTATTTAGTTCATCATCTAGCTATCTTGTTGTAGGTATATATTAATATTGTATAAAATATATAACAGTTATCTTCATCTTTGCACGATAAATGAATGAAAAAACAGCGACTATACAATATCAAATGGTATATGATAGGACCAAAATGCATGTCTAAGTTCTACTCAGACTTTTTAATTAAATATGTAGATCAAAAGAAATGATAAGCTAAAGCAACACTTATGGGCCGTTTCACACGTTCCTGTGTAGATGGTTGATAAGATGGTTTAAAAATGTAGGTGCAAGTTAAAAATGCAAACATTGTAGTTGATTTCGTAAATGGAACAAACTTGTTCAGTTGTGTAAACTTTAAGTTGAATGGGAGCACTATGTCTTCAGTACGTATTTCTGTCGGTTAATGCTCTATTAACTTTATGATAAGCTGTTAAAGTAAATGTAAATTTTAGATTGTAGTAAACTTTTATTTATATTTAAAAGTTATTCAGATTTATAGGAGCTTTCCAAAATATAAATTAGTTGTCCGAAAAATAATATTGATAAAACTTAAAACAGATTTCTTTTATTTAAGAAATAAATATTAATTTGAGAGCATGCAGTCACAAAAATAAGAAGCCGGTATAACAAAATAAATACTACCGTAATACGTTGTATAATAGAATAAATAAAATAAATAAATAATAAAATACTTTCACTACAACACTAAAATTATATACACTATATTAACACTACATATAATTAATACACTATATTATTATAATAGATATTACGTCTTAAAATTATAATAAAAACAAACACTATGAAACAAATCGAAAGTAAATTAAAACTGACCATTTTCGTCCAGAGATGGCGTGACTGACGCGGTACGACGCGTGCGCCTCGACTGAGCTCGCTACCGTCGTTGCTACAATTTATAAAGTATCCGTACGGAGCGGTTTCACTTTCTACTCGGGTCCGGTCGAACATGATCCACTTTTTTACGGCCGCCATAATTCTTATGCCTTGCATGGTAAACAAAGAACTGTTTTACTCCCGGGAGAAAGACCAGAAGCACATGTTCTGGTCCTTCGAGCCGCTTACCATATGCCGTGATATATTCATGATATGATAGGTAATAAACTTGTGATATTTACATACGAAATGAACTTGACACACCACACGGTGAGTTAATAAATTATGCACCGAAGTCTTGGATAAACTTGCACCTTAAACGAGGGCCAGCCATTCGTGGACCTGCTCTCTGAACAGTTGTTTCACTGGTTTGAAACTCTTACAAACCAAGTTTCGAACGAGGCAAGAAGATATGAACTTACAAGTTAGTTTACCTACTTGCAACATCTGTATTAAGTTTACTAGAAAACAGCATTTGATGAAAATCTGCCATTAAAACAGCTATTCTCGCATCAATTGATGTGTTCTCTCGTAATACAGGAATATCAGTAGCCTAGTTAGGGTTCATCATGCCAAACTTAGTAAATAATAACTGGAAATGGATATTTTCTCCCATAGGTACCTATACTAAATCTGATTGTCCCATATACTAATCAACCGATTTGGAAGACATTGGGAGAGGCCTACGATCAGCAATGGGACATCTTATGGTTAATGATAATGATAACTATCACGTAGGAACTGATATAATAAATCTGAGAGCCAAATAATATTAGGTATTAATTCCAAAAGCAGATCCTTCGCTTTAAGTATTCTTGTGACTCATGACCACTAACCAATGAACATATTAGGTATGAGAGCTCGTTCAGTGTCTAGGTCACGCGTACGGCAAGCTGTGCAAGTTATTTCATACCTCAATGTCCTTTTTGTGTACTTTACAAGTCAGACCTGAAACTCTAAATAGTGTGAAGGCGATTTACGTTAGATCTTTTTGATGGTCTCCTCTAAATATTATGTCAAAGTATTCATTCAAGGAATAAGGATTCTTCTATGTACAAACAGAAGTGAGAAGATTGAAGATTTAGGGACCTTACAGGTCAGAGTAGGCTATAGACATAAGAAACCATTGTTAAAGATTAGGTGGTAGGATTTGCTACAACAAAGCAATTGGTTTCGGTTAAATTGTATTGATTTTATTAAATTCTAAGTCAATACATGAGGACTATAGAGGTACTTGCCGTAGAGACTTACTCTTCGTTTTTTATGAGGTAAGCGGGTAAACTAGGAAACAGATCACCTGATGGTAAGCAATCGGCGTCGCCCATGGATATTATACACCGAGAGGCGTTACAAGTGCATTACCGGCATTTTGGGGATAAGGAATTTGAGGGTTGTTGGGTATTCAGGGATTGGAGAGATTGGGAAAGGGGCGGTGGGGAGGGGGATATTGGGACTCCGATAACCTCACTCATACGACGAAATGCAACGCAACGTTGTTTCACGTCGGTTTGCTGTGAGGCCGTGGTAATGGTTCGGTCGAGCCGGCCCATTCGTGCCGAAGTATGGCTCTCATACACTTTAAACTAATCGGTGCAATATCATGTTTTCGGCTACCTAAGACAAGGAAAAACTGTATAGAATTCACAATTTCACAAGAGTTGACCCAATTTATAAAGACTATGGTTATCTGAAGACCTGCTAAGCCCAAGATAAGAATTATCAATTTCGTAAGTTCATTTTTGGAACAGCTAAGTTCTAATGTTTACCGTCTACATATACTTAGTAGGCACTGCATTAAACATTCAAATTCAACTTTAAAACACTTAAAAACGTTGCCCCACACTAGATTTTCTCCTGTATGATGGGTGCGTTTACAAACATACAATTTCACATACACAACTATGACATCCAGACCCAAAACAACAATTAGTGTATCACACAAAAAGTTGATCTGTGCGGGAATCGAATCTACTACACCGCACCAACCATGTACCTATGTAGTCTAATAAGTAAGTCAAAAATTCACATTGGTATGCATAATATTGATCTTCTACACCATACTTAAACGACACATAGATCCCCACTAAATATATTTAAATCTATGCATTGTATGTAGGTACTCTAAAATCTACGTTATATAGCGACCTGTTACACCTTCACGTAGTTTATTATTTTTTTTATATTTCGCGCCCATTAAACAAGTCAAACTGTCTGAAATAGATATATATCAGTTAATTAATTAGTTGTTCTCTTGTGAATATTGCGACATCACAAAAGCATTGTACAATCGAGGTCATTTTAGGTTATCTGTACTACGCCTGCGCGATACCTACCTGCGTGTACGCATTAGAAAATCGTTAGGTAATTACGAAATTTCTCCGAACGATTTCCACGTTGCACAGTGAATGAAAGAGTAACCTATTATCGTGTTATAACAACATGACTGTTATGTACGCCTAGTGTAAGTGCCATGAGTGCCATGGACCACACCATGGTTCATAAACAATTTGTTTCATGATGAACAACCTGCATTTGTTCTTGCTGCAACTTCTTGATTTGATCACTCCTTAGTGGTTGTTATAAGACTACTTATTTAACTAAACAGATATTATAAACTACAGTCGAGTAAAATTATGAGTACCAAAAGACCAAAAATTTTGGTCCTTTTGAAGACAATTGTGTCTATTCACAGTGTCACAGTGCTCACACGTCTGAATTAAATGGGCTGAGAGAAAACTTAACTTATTTACATGAGAAAGAACTTTACAGTTCTATGTGAGACAGAAACCTAGCTCGCGCTAAATGTATGTCACTTATGAGAATATTTATTTTTAACAAATTTCGTTTTTGCACTGTCTTGTGGATATTCGTAGTAAAATAGAAGGGCAACTGCGACCACGTGACTTTGGTCCTTGGGACGCCTAATTTTAGGTTGAATTTCGTAAGAATTTTTTGAGTACAATGGGCAACCATCTCTTCGTACTACGTATCTTAAAAAACCTATTTCAGTTTCATTCATCCGAAAATCAAACTAAAATTAGGCGACCCAAGGACCAAAGTCATGTGGTCGCAGTGCAAATGTCAAACATTGCCTGAATATTTGATATCTTTATCTGTAATTTGTAAAATGATATACAATAAAAGCATTTATGTATGTATCTAGTACTTACTTCATGCATATAGTACGTACCTATGTAGGTATCTCGTTTTTATATATGTGTTGTCCTTTGTGTTATATGTGTGTACAATACATAAATAATAAATAAATAAATAAATAGTTATTTCTACTACATTATCTGTCATCTGTTTAAGTTTTATTTATGTGCAATGGTTTTTTGCATGTCTGACTTTTTATATACTTAACTACTGGTATTTAAGTTTTAACCTGCTTAAGTATAAGTGAAACTATATAGATCACGCGTTAATTAATTCACGAGAATTAAATAAATTACGTTGTCATATCAACTTCCCTTATGAGAATGTCAACCGGCAAGGACAACAAGATTGCAAGAATTTGTATTGGACCACATTTCAAACTATATGCATAGAATTAATTCTGTTTCACTTAATGAACGATTAAAATTTGATTTATTACACCCATCATAGCATTTAAGTTTGTGATTCATAATTATCATAAGTGTCATCATCTAAAATACGAAGATTGATGAGTTACGTTAAAGAGGATGTCATTGGCTCTGTGTTTCCTATTTTAGTTCTTTTGTGTAGGACAAGGCTTAGGATTTTTTAATTTAAGTAACATTTAAAATGCTAAATTAGTTTCAAATTGTGTTTGGAATATCATTTTTACTTCAGTACAGGTATTAACTGCATACGTAGAGTTACCAAGAGTTCTTAAACATATATCTATAGGTACACTTCTGTTCTCAACATAGATCGAACCCAGATTACACAGATTCTGCGACAATAAAAACAGCATCCTGAAAAAAAATCCACCAGAAGATTCATATTTAAAACGACGTTTTAATTCTATGTTTAAAACAGAGACGACAAAGACGATTTTCCCTTAACATTTCTCAGCACAATATCAAATACTACCGACAGTCGTTTATTTCATCATACGTAATTGAAACCGAGTTGGTTCCCGCATCGTGTGGGTATCGCACACACGTGTGGCACGTGTCCTGAATACAAAACACCTACTTACCTGCTTACCCTCTTACGAAACCTACGGGTTGCTAGCCCTCATATGGACATAAGGTTTGGATCGAATTTAAATGATCTCACCGTTAATTTCCGTGTTTGATTCCAAGAAAAATAAACATTTTATTGCAAGAAATTCAAAGGATCAAATATTACACCTACACATAAGAATCGGGTAAAAACGATAGGTGGGCGTCTGAGGTAAGAAACTGATATCCACGTTTTGTATATAAATTGTCAGTCCCATGAAGTAAATAAGATACTTAGCCCACCTGGTAACTTATTTTGGCCCACCCGGTATTCAGACCCGGGGGTCTTAATCTGGCTAACGCTCGACCAGGTTGGTAACTCCTACACAACGCATCTCTACCTAAGGCCTTAGTACGAGTTTGATTTACGTTTAAAGTATCCGAAACGAGTACGCGTTCGGCACTCTGATTGGCTGGCGCCAATGAAGCAACCAATCAGAGTGCCGAACGCGTAGTCGTTACGATTATTTTAAACGTAAAACATACTCGTACTAATGCCTCTGATAGCCATGCTTCGTCACGAATGGATGGGCTTAAACGTGAGAGAGCCCAGCTTCATCACAAATGGACGGACTTGACCGGAGTGATACCACGGCGTTAAACACCGCTTATTTCGTCGTGTTAGTGACGTCAATATACCGGCAACCCACGAGTAAGTACGTAAATCCTCCTATGTTACGGATGTCCATTGATAGCACTGTTTAATTTCTACAAGATGATCCGTATGCTCGTGTACCGTCGTACCATCGTATAAAAAACCACCGAGTCATCAAAGACTAAATCTTTTCCCTAGAATAGAATCCCCCAAGTGTAATTCAATGACACATTTCCTTAACCATCATCTGATGATGGGATTTTCAAGATAACTGTTTTTCCTTCGCGGAAATGGGATTATCTGTGCGATAAAAATCCTGATTATTATTATCT